TTGAATTCTTAGAATTGCATATGAAAAAGTTTTTGAATTTAGTCATGTATTTCATTATTATCACACATGTATATGGAAATAATTATGTATTACTTATAGAAAATGCTATACATATAATTATGTATACATGCCTATTAAGTATTAATTAAAGTTTATACAAATTGTCTATTCATATACATAAATTCATATTTATGAACAACTTTAAAACTTATCAAATTTCTGGCACTCTTATTAATGATTCTTGTTAATGATTCTTGTCAAAATATTAATAAGAAAAAAATGTGTACAGTTTATATGATAATAACTTGAGTTGTAAGAAGGATAAAATGAATTGAACATTTTTTATAAACAAAAAAAAAAATTTAAAAAAAAACATTGCCAACCCTGTTTGTAAAAAAAAGAAATTTAAAATTTTGACATTTTCTTAAACATTTTTAAAGAAAATATTTTGTTTGAATTTTTGCACCAGCTCAAAATTAGAAAAACTTTTTCAGTATACAAAGATTTTCTTCCAATTTAGGTACATGAAATTACTAGTCTAAAATATGTCATTAGTGTTATACTTAAAAAATATTGTGCTAAAAATTTCTTTTGATTTATATAACATACCGTTATTGTGACATTTAACATAAAAAAATTTACAAGTTGAAAAATTTATTTGCAAAAAAAATTTTAAATTGTTCGATTATAAAAATCGATTATAGTGCACACTTTGAATTCTTGGGAATGAACATTAAAAACCAATTTTCATTTACCTACCAACCGTATTAAAACACACATACGCACATAAATAAAGTTATTTCGGGAAAAAGCACGAATATATTTTTGAAATTTTATTTATTTTACAATTCTCTTAGATATTTTAAAATCCCCATGAATATATTTTTTTTAAATAAAAGCATTTCTATATATTTCAGCATGGGTTCACTTTTTTTTCAATAAAAAATTTTTATTCTTTCGAAGTTTTATTTTTATGTGAATTTCTATATACTAGAATAACACGGTCAAAGGACATTTTTATATTTGAAAATGCGTAGAAAAGAAAATATTTTTTTATTTTTATATTTTGGTGATTAATTTTTTAAAAATATTAGTAAAATTCGCATTACTACCTAGTTTAGGAGGTAAAAATTTTTTTCATATTCTAAATACAAAAAAAAAATTTTTAAAAATAATTATTGCTCAGAATATATTTTGACAAGTGACACGGAAAATTGAATTAAAATGAATATTCAATTTGATTTTGTAAAATATTGGTGGAAATACTTTGAATTCAATTCAAACGAAAAAAGTAATATTTTAAGCCGGTTATAATTTTATGGGTAATTGTTTTTATAAGTGTATGGATTTCTTGTGTACTCAAAATGTTAAGATATGTACTATGAAAAAAAATTCAGATATGTACTATGAAAGAAATTCTCAGAATAAATAATTGAACTTGAATAATACTGTAAAAAAAAAGTATTTTCCAATAAAAATATTGATATTATACGTTTTTAGCAAATATATTAATGGCAATAACCTAATGCCTTTTTTGATTCTCATTTTTTCTGTCTCCTTTTTATAATATTTCACGTAAAATATAATCACTTACCGCGTGTATATCGCGGATCGATACATATTTGAATTGAAATAAAATTACTTGGAATCAACTTGAGTTTGACATTAGCTGGCAAATATTGAATATGTGCATTCTATTTTCAAGTCAAGCTAATAATTTTGTCAAATCAACTTGACTTGAAAATTTTTAGTCAAGCAGAGTTTTATGAGCTCGAAATTCGCTTGAAGTCGGCTTCATATACGTTCATATAAACGTAATAACCTTCAGGGCTACCGTTTTCATGTTCATTTGACTTTCAATAAAATATTAAACGTAATTTGTTTTTATTTGCCTGTCTATATATGTTTCTCGATATCTATTGAATTTCGTTTACGTTTTATCAAAATTTGAATTATACAAAAACAAAAGAATTATATAAAAACAAACTCTACGAATAAATACATCCGCATTAACTCATTACAATTGAAATAAAAAAACAATAAAAACAATAAAAATATTAAGAAAACAGAAAATTATTTATGACTTAATTTTATATAGAATTGAAATTTGCATACGTATGTATGGCTGTTTGCATGTATATAAAGTGTTTTATGTATGAAAAAATGTACAGCTTCGAATGGGTAGAATGGATAAAAGGGTATCTGATGGAAAATATCTTTGATATAATATTAAAAAACTTGGGATATTTTGTTTTTGGCTAATATTGGGTTTTTTGTTCCATTGAGGACACTTTTATGAATATCAATACAAAAATATTAAAATTAGATTTTTGAAATTTTTATTTTTTATAAATATTTTTGATATTTTATTCCTAGAAAATGGAATAATAGCTATTTGTGTTTTTTCAATGAAAAATTATTGAAAGAAATATTAAACCTTATGTGGTTTACCCAAAGTTTTTATTTATATAAGATGGTCAATTTTTGCTTCATAAATTAATTTTAAATTGGTGAATTTTTTTACATAAAGTTGCGAATATAAATAAATGTTACGGACCGGGAAACAAAAGAATGAGGATTTCAATTGAAATTTATTAATTTTGAAAACATTTTGCCGGAAAAAATTAGATTAAATCTTAAGTTCATACAAGAATGGTAGAGGCTGAGTCTTTTTTTGTCGTAAGTTCTTAGTTAGAACTGCAGTCGCAGTCCGTTTTTGTAACTTACTTCGCATTGCAGTTCGATTCACTTTGTAATTTTGCAAAACTTATCCAAAAGCAAAAAAAAATTGATATCTACTATTTTGATGAAACTGCTCTGGTTAATATATAAAATTAGACAACTAAATCATACAAATAATTGACTCGCTATGTTCAATTATTTCAGCTGTCAAATAAATACATAGAAAATGGGACAACATTCTATTTTTCTCATACGATTTTGTTTGATTAGATTGTGTGTTTATAAATCATATACATATGTTTCCAAATTTGATCCATTCAGACTTAAACATCCAATTTTTCTGGTTTTGTAAACGTTACTTCACTTTGTCTTATTGGACACTTTTCGGCTTTGACATTTGTTGCAAAAGCGGCATTTTTTTATCAGTACTTTTTCAAAATCTTTTGAATTATATCAAGGCTGTTCCCACATTCATTTTTAACACGAAAAAGGTATATTCTTAAGTGTTTTTAACAAGAAATGTTGTACAACAAATACTTTATTTGAATGTTGAACAAAGTGATAAAATGATTAATGTATTTTCTACTATTTTATATAAATTATTAATGACAAAAAATTTTATTGAAAGAAAAAAAAAAGATACACAGGCAATAGATGGCGTTCCAACTTTTGTGTTACTAATGTTATATAGAAAGTTCTAATGTTTCTGATTTGTTTATACAATTATGGAAAGTACATAATTTAATAAAAATTTTTAAAAACTAACTAAAAATTTAATAAAAATTTTTTATAAGATTATTTGAAAAGTTTGCCAAAATTGTTTTTAAAGATATTTTATATCAAAACATTGCAGCTTCCAAAATACAAATTTTGTTTAAATCGAATTACTTAAGGAATATCTGATTTTAAAACAGAAACAAAATAAAATAATCAAATTTTCGATGTATCGATAGTATAATAAATCGTTATTCGTAACATAGGAATTAATTAACAGCTGGATGCTTCTAAAGCTTCAAATTTTTTAATTGCGCGTAGCTTCTTATAAAAATAACTAACAATAATTTTGCAATTTTAAAATTTTTTTCGAATGTAAATGTTGTATGTAATGTAATATCGAATATAAAAGAATTTAAGATTAAATCTGCAATAAAGTCTGATGATTGTGTTCTGATCGAACTGAAATTATTTCATGGAGCTAAAACTTTACGTGAAAATTTTATAATTTTGCTATTAGAATTATAATTAAAATATAAATCAGCTGATGGCTTTTCCAAACTCCCACTAAAAATTAATTGTCGATATTTTACTTTTAAAAAATCTAAAAATAAACAGGACAAGAGTGGAGCATTTCTATTATTTGCCAGTATGATAACAAGCAGCGTTTGGTTACAGTTAGAGTCAAATTAAACAGATTTGTCGTACATGTAGATAGCACAATATACTTCATTACAACAAAGTTGCTCAGTAGCGGTTGATTGATGAACAATTTATACTTTTTTTTTCAACATTTTTAGTGGAAGCAACAAGAAATTTTCCAGGCTGGTCTTACAATATGTATTACTTAATTTAAATGAAAAATCGAGTTTGAAATCGTTAAGATACATATATTTTTTGTCCCTAAAGTAATTCAGATACAATGCGGCGTTTTAAAGCGAAGAAAAGGTATACTTTTTGAAATTAAAGTTTTACTGTGACAATTTAAGATTAAATTCATCAAATATAAAAGTTTTCTTGAATTATATTCATACATAATTCAATTTATATTGCAGCGTTCTTACGGTAATTGTATACTTAATATTTATAAGGAATTATATAGAATAACCTTTTATTTTTATTCAAGTGTCAAATTAAATGTCCTTTTTTCATTTATAAATTTATAATTAATTTAACATTTTCACCTGCCTACACTTTGTATACATAATTAATTGGTTTTAAAATAGGTAAATTTATGAAATTTTATTAAGTAGGTATTTCTTTATAATTATTTTTTTGTGTACGTATATCTGTATTTGCATACGGGATACATAATAAAAATTTCTTATATTTAAATTAACCTTTTGTATCTTACTTTTGTATTCTTAAAAATATAATCAAATTTATTTAATGATAAAAAAAATTTAAATATCAGCAAGAAGTGATATATTTTTCTCTTGAAGAAAAGAATGCCTAAATGCCTGAAATATACAAAATAATTTTATAATTGATTATGACAACAAAATTTTGTAATAATTAAGTTTTCTTATTAAATTTTCTGACATTTATACATATTTATTAAATTTTATTTTTAAAAAATTTTATTTATTTTTTATTATTTTTAGCCCTTGGAGAGCTGCTATCAAATTTGTGATAACGGTATAACGGGTAATAATACAACGAAATTAAAGAAAATTCATGAAAATCATTATATAAAATTATTATGCCGAGATGATACAACATTAGCATTTCAGATAATGTTAAAAGAATTTGGATCAATAAAGATTAAAACAGCAAATCAAACAATTATTACAAATAAATTGAATAATGATAATATAAATAAAACTATTAAGGATATGGATAGTAGTAGTAGCAGTAGTAGCAGTAACAATAGCACAAAAATTATTAATGAAAATAATTTTATAACAAAAAGATCAAATAATGAAATTTATTTTATAAGGATATATAAAGCAGAGAATGTCACAGATCAAGTAAATTTATTGGTAAGAAAATAATCCATTAATTATTTTTATAAAGATTTTTAAATAATATGTATACATTTACATTTATTTTTAAGTTGCGTATTATGGTATTTTAAAAATATTCAAATTAAATTTGAATGTTTTTGTTAATAAAATCTAAATGTAATCTTGTAAATCATATTCAGTTTATATAGAACCTCCGATAATTTTTTACTTTGCCAAATTGTGATCTTATCTTATGACAAAATACACATATTTATATGTAAAACTTAAACATCGTGGCTTCAAAATTATTATATTACTCGTATGTTTGAAGTTGTATAATAATTATTCAAACCGATAAATGAATAGAAAATCTAGCTTAAAAAATAGATATAAGATATTGTAAATATTTACAATAATTCTTATATAAAATGCATAAACTATTGTAAATATTCTTTGTAAAGGATGTGGTCTTAGTCTCTACATATATGAGTGCCAAAGATTCCTAAAATTTTTGTTAATTTAACTTCATGTTTAGATAATTATTAGAAGTTTTTAAAAATATTTAAAAGCTTCTTTTGATCTTTATTTAACCTTGACCTTTATTTGATTTATTTTTTTTTCTTTTTTTCTGAGAGCAATCGTGACAGTCTTTCTTACACGAAATATTTACTGATATTTCTACGTATGTACTTCCTATATACTTCTTAACATTTTTAAACAGTTCCTGGATAGAAGCAATACAAAAATTTGTTATTGTAAAGAAATTCGATTTGTTTTCATTTACTTACCTTGCCATTAATCTAAGTGTGTATGTGTTGTGAAAAAAATTATATTTGGTTCATTCCAATGTTAGTTTTTCGATATTTTGTTAACAAATCCGAACAAACACATAACATTATCTTAAATTCCAATGAAAACTTTTATAAGGATGCAATTTTTTTTTGTTAAACTAAAAAACAAAAATAAATAAGAAAACTTCTATTTAAGCTTACAAAGAGTTTACATATTGTAATATTTTTATTTATTTACAAATTGTTTTTGTACACATGCAAGTTGTAACTAGTAGCAAGAATATATAATATACCGATATCAATATGATTATGTTGTTATGAAAATATGGTTCTCTATATGTAGGTTCTCTGTTTCTATGAAAAAATAAGCTACATACATACATTGAATTTTTTGTATTAATAACTTTATTTCCAAATATTTGTAGAATTTTTGTACTTTTATGTTCGATAAAAGTACTTGTCGATAGTAAATATGTGTATACTTATGTACACATATAAATATAATAATATATGTACATTGTATGTATATGACACATAAGTGTATACATTGCATGTTTGTTATCGATGTCAAATCAAATATTTAATAATTTTCACAGTTTTACAATTTTTTGAAGTGAATTGCTGTACAAATACCATATAATGTATGTATGTACTAAAATTTGTTTTGTAAATTTCAAGTATATGTAGGTACTACATATACTTGAAATACATATTAACCAATATTTTTGGTATATGTACTATAGAAATTATAGCGCTAGTGATACTTATGACATTATGCTTTTGTAATTCTAAGAGTAGGTATATTTGAAATATTTTTTTAGGCAATTTAATGAAAGAAATCAACAAATTTATAGAATTTTTAGCTTTTCATAATATTTTAATAGTTAAGTTAAATAATATTAATTTATTTATCTCAACAATCAGAAAGTAATTTTGAAGAATTTTTAACTTTGTCACCGATCGTCTTCGAAGAATATATATTCATTCACATGTGCCTGATAGGAAATTTTTAAATTTGAACTATTGGTTGAATTTATCCTTAATAAGCAAATATAAAAACTTGTGATTGAAAAAGCATATCCTATAGAGTAAATCACGAAATTTGTTCTTACGTTTTACTATATTTTGTTTTATGCCCTATCAATAACATATTTAATATAATTAGCTAATTCTATGTTATATAATTAAGTTATAAGTTTTTTAATTAAAATTCTACACATTATTGAAAACAGAAAGGGCTTAACTTTATTTCCATGTTGAAATTATTTTTCGTTTTACAACATCAGACATCATATTTTTGCATTCTAAAATCTTCTTGTTTTTTTTTTAATATGTAATGGGCTTTTAATATGTATGCCATAAATAATGTGCTTTTTGAATTTTAAATTAAAATAATAATCTCTATTGTGTTACTCCTAAACACGTGTTGTTTACATTTGCTATGTATAATTGTTAGGTTTAAATAGAATTTTTCATTTAAATTTGAAATTTCATTTAAATTTTTTATAAAAAAACAATTGTATAATAAGGATTTTATAAAAAATTTGTTTTTTATTTTTAGGGATTGAATTTTAGGAAGAGACGAAAATTTTTAGAATGAAAAAAAAAAGCACTCTAAAGTGTTCGTTCGTACCTATACAGAAAATCAATCCATAAATTAGTATATAGGACTATCTCGACTGAATTTTGGAATGAATTTGACTGAATTATAATTCTGTAATTTCAAAGAACCATATCTTATTCTAACTTAATAAGAATAAGTGTATAAATTTAAAAAAATTATACAATCAAATTTCTAAAATTCATTTTTCAGCTGTATGAAGAGAATTTTTCGGCAATTCCCGATTATTTTTGAATTAAAAAGTACTAAGTACTTTTCCAATTTTCAATGTAGTATAAACAGAGTAAACTGCCTAGGTGCTTTTATGCATATTTTGTAATGGCGGATTCCTGTAATGCGCACAAGTATTACAAATTTAATAAAAGTATTGACTTCTGTGCTCTTAAAATTTTACCGAGTTAGATAATTTATACATGTAGGGAATAATGACAATATTGCAGTTGTAAGTTGTTTCGAAAAAATTTAGTTTATCTACCAGCTCTACTTGTTGATATGATCAATAAGCACTGTAAAATTCATCAAAACTAAAAGTTTTCAAATTCCTATACTATCCAATAGGTAAATAATGAATTCTATCTAAAATAAAAATTGTTTTTTTTTGTCCTAACTTTTTTAATTTTCTTTCTTAAATTTTTTTTTATTTAAAATTAAATCTAAATATTTTATTTTATCAATTTTTTTCTCTTTTTTTTTTGTTATAAAAGTTCCTTCTTGTCAACGAACGTGAGAAATTCAAAATTAAATCAGCATAAAAATTTTTCACATTTTATTCACAATATTATTTTTTTCTCTTCTAATTGATATATGTATACCTACTGTCACTTACATAATGTCAGCAATAACAAAATATAATAAAAACAAATTAATTTAATTTAAAATATTTTTTAACTTTATTTCCACCTTTACTTTATCTTATTGAATAACTTACTTGAATAAATTGTTCAAAATTTTATTAATCAGAAAAATTTTTTTCAATAAAAAAAAAAACAAAAATAGCTAACAGGAATAATTTCAAACGGCACATGCGGTGAAAAAAAAATTCAAATTTTATTTAATTTTCTTTTCTATTTAAAAAATAAAAAAAAAAATTTATTAACAAAGTTATTTATTTCTCAGTTCCTTAATCAAAGGATCTATAATTTTCGTTTATGTAAATGCATGTGTGAAAAGTATATACATATGTATGTATGAATAAAATACAATATTGTATTAAATATGAAGGCTCACGTGGATCAGAAATTTTGTTTTTAAAAATTTAAAAAAAAATCAATTTCTGTAATCAGAAAATAGAAAATATTCGATTGTATTTTAGCTATTATTAACATATTTCACATTTAGGGTAATCTTGAGCTTTTTCTTTTCAGATTTAAACTTGTTATTCAAGGAGAAACAGCGTTAATAAAAAGTTTTTAGGGTCTTTTCCATTTTGTGTGAAATAGAATATTGCAATTTATAGCATTTTATTATGAAATTTATTTTAGTGCAATTCTTTTCATTTTGTTTCATCTATAAAAAATTTTTCCAGCTTTCATTCAGATTTCATTCAAAGTTTATTGTTTGCACTCATTTCTCTATTTTAGATTGTAGATTGCAGATTCGGACGGTGGTGCAACACCATGTAAAAGATCTATTATGACCTATTTCCTTCATTAACTAAACGGTGGAGTAATTTGATTACAAAGGGTTTATCAAAATTGTTAAAATAAATTTTCAATAAGGAATTTAAATCCCTGTTCTTTGTTGTATTTTGTTATCGAAATTAAAGTTTACTATTGCTAAATTGAGTTGTTAATCATAAAGTCAATTTGGTTAACTGAGTACATATGGATTTTTTTCAAAGACAAATATATATACATGTGTATATTTTTTGTAATTCGTAACCTTTTTCCAATACAAAAAATTCTTTTGAAACCCTATTTTTTTTTCATATTATTTTATTGTGAAAAAAGAATTTGTTTTGAATTTATTTTTATCTTAAGAAACGACAGGTAGATATATAACAAAAAAAAATTTTTTTTTATTGTAGATTATCTTTAATATTCTTTGGAATTTATTATTGTCATACCGTATATAATAATATAATGGCGTTTCACCTTATAAACACGCTTATTTGTAATTTCAATTCTAAATATAGTAAATGCGTAAAAATATATAAATTTACTATTAATTGTAGAGGTTTCTGAATTCCTTTAAGAATTTTATAAATCTCCCGAAAAGTCTTTAGAAAATTCATTTTAATATTAAGTATAGGTTTAATAAGATTTTCGGTCAAAACATTATATGTAGGTTATTCTAGTAAAAGTCAATAAATACAATCTATTTTTCACAATATTATGTGATAGGAATTCACAGTTAAAATGAATTGAGCGTCACGTGAGATTATTGTATTCTATGTGTATGTATTATGTTGTATGGGCTATTGCGTTTGTGAATAATTACTATGTGTGTATGTACACATTTATCAGTTTCAAATTAAATATCAATTTAGTTTTTCAATTTAATTTTTAATTTAGTTTCAACTTTTAATACTGGAGTTCATGTTACAAGTGCAATTAAATTATACGCTTTTCAAAAATTCTAAACTTAGATTGAGTTGAATGTTTTAGTTGACTTTTCAAATAAATTCACAATCTTTTTCATAAATCTCAAAATTTTTAAAACTAAAAAAAAAATTTCATAAATCTTAAATTTTTTTTTTTGTTAGAAAATGTGGTGAAAAACTTATGATAATTTCAAATTGAATTTTACTAATTTCATAAGATTTTGAATTGAAAACAATTTTAACATTAAAACATTATAAAAAATATAATAATAATGAAGAGTAGTGATGATGATGATGATTATAATAAAAATTCTGATTAAAAGGAAAAGTTTACTATTATTTTCAGAATAGAAGACGCAAAAAAAAATTAAATTGTTCAAGTTGTTGTCAAAAACAACTTTTATTTTTTTGTGATTCTACCAAGGAAATAAGATATAATCGCAAATATAATTGTGGTACGTACGCGTAAAAATTACTAAAGGTATTTATATTTTCTTTTGAAATGCAAATATTATACATAGCAGTCCTAGCAGTAAATTAGATGTATGGTGGAATAATTATAGTTCACAAATTTTATTAAGCAAGAAAAATCTAAATTTGTATAAATATCTAGAATCAATTCATTTTAATCGTTCTTTTAATTGGTTTCAAGTAATTTCTGCGTACATACTCAATCGAATTCATGCTTATTGAATTTCTTGTAACTACAATTCTTAAAATTCGGCAATTATTTTGTTATTGAAATAAAAATCTTAAATAATGTAATTTTGGCGTGTTCCAAAAATTGAAAACGCCCCTATTATTGAAAGGCTATTTGATACGTATATTAAAAGTTATAAAAATAACTAAAATTTTTCAAATTCTACGTTGTTCTTTGTATTATCTAATTAAATGTCCTTTTTAATACTCAAAAATCTAAATTTTAGTTGTTTCCCTATTAGTATATTTTGCTAATTATATCTGCAACAATTTATATATATTAAATAAGTGCGCATTTAAACTATTTTTTTTTAGCAAATTCCCAACAAAAATTCGAAAATAATATGCTTATTTGTTTTATTTTATCTTTTTTGCCGCCCGCCGTTCTTGCGTCTTTTAAAATAGAAAACACAAATTTTCGTCGAATAGATGGATTTTTATAGTGAGAAATCAGTTACTCTAGATTCTCTTCTTACCCGTTTTTGTAAAGTCCTTAAAAGTCAATAGTCTTAAAATTTTTTGTATAACAGCGCAAATAAATTTTGTTTAGACAAAATGGCCACTGAAGGTAACCGTTATTTTCATTCAATTTACTTCTTTTACGTATGTTTAGAAGTCTAGAATTTTAACAGTTTCTAGACAATCAGTAAATGATTGATTTAGTCTTTTATCAAAAGACATTTAAATATTGGTTGTAATTCACCTCTTATAATATAAAAATTCTCTTTAGCCTTATAAAATATTTAACTATGTATAGCTAATCGATCTGCTCTGTTCTATTGTAGTGAAAATGTCTTGGTAGTCAAAGGACTCTTTCTTTTGTTTTTCTTACGTAATGCTTTTTAAGAATTTTTCTTTTCGCATTTTCTTCAAAGGAAGAAAAAAATTTCAATTCATGTTTTGAATTTTAAATATCCTTTATCCATGTACGAAAAAAACATAATAACTTTTAAAGTAAGAAGAATACAGAGAAAGAAACCATACACGCATATTATTTTATTAATCTTTAATACATAAGAGTGGAAAATATATAGATACAAAAACTTTATGAAAAAAGGATTTTGTAACTTGTTTACATCCCTATTGGAAAAAGTAAAAAAAAATTTCTGCTCATTTCTCTATGGATAAATTTGTTGTATAGAGATTTTGAAAGTTTTATTGAATAACAATTTTTCTGGGAAAAAACTTTTTCCTAATTAAAACATAAAATTTGACTTGTAATATAAACTTACCTACTTAAGGTACTTAACATAAATATACGGTATTTATAGGTAACTAAATCAATTTAATTTGGATAATATTTTTCTCGAAGTTTTATCAAATCATCATTACAAGTTTTATTAAACTGCGTCATTTGTTAGGCTTTGCATATACAATATTATGACTTTGCAAGAATATTTATGTACTAATGTCTTGAAATGGTGTCCTTTTAAATGGGTGTACAACAGAAATTGAGCTCAAAATTGAATAAAATTCTTTCTTTTTTGAAAATCTATTCATTAAAATTATTTACTCTATAAGAAAATTATTTCTCTTTATTTACTCGAGGTTAAACAAAAGAGTAAGTGCTAAAGAGCAATTGCTGACAGGTGATTATTTTATAGGCGAACTATTTTTCGATATTTATTTCAGTAAGCAATTTTCAAAACTGTTTATCCAATATTGTTCAATTGTGGGGCGATACACTGTCAATTCGCGTCAAATCGTGTGTGTCTGGAATGGGAGGTTCTTCTAGTTTGATCCTGTGTAGCTATATCTCCTAAACGAATAAATCCGGAACGAATAATGGGATGCAATTAACCATAAATTATTTTATAAGCAAGCCCATTATTTTGATAAAATTACTGCTTCGTTTTCATAAATTCATATTGCACGCATAAGGCACATCTGACGTACTTCATCTAAAAATTTTTCTTAAAGAATATTATGCAATTCATTTTTCAATATTATATAAATATTTATTGTATTGTATGTTCATATATATACGTAATTATTAATAAATTAATTTAAATTTGAAATTTAAAAAAAAATTAAATTTTTTCTATTATATTTCTTTTTTAGACAAATTCTAGTTATGTTAAAGTTGAAAATTTAGAACCGAACACAACATATAATATAACAGCAACAGTTGTTTATTCAAATTATGAATATAGTTTAATTGTACAGAATCAACAATTTACAACATTACATCGCAAGTATACACCAAGTAAAGTTCAAAAAATTGAATTAGGTCCTTTCATACAGGATGAACATGATAAATATACACTTAAAGCGATAATCTTATGGAAACCAGCATTAGGTAAAAACTAATAATATATTTCATTTCCGTTCATTAAATATATTTGCATGTATAGATGTATTTGTATTTTCATACATATATCTGAAAGAGTATGAATATATAATTTTGTTAAAGAAAGAATACGATATCCACATTTCAGCGTTACCTTCTTTGCTATATTAAGTGTAGTATATTCCGTTTTGAATTTATAGATTTTAGAAAATTAGAAAAATTTACATTTCGAACTTTTTTCCATATTCTCAATTTTCCACATTCAATGAACATGAGGGTATTAGGTGAAAAAATATAGTATGAGTATATAGGAGTATATTAATCCGTGTTTCATATTGCTTACATGTGTAGTAATCTTATTCTATTATAAAACTGTTGGTCAACACAGATCTATACAGTGATAGTTAATTTATTGTAATGCACATTTTTAAACCTTTTGAAGCAATTTCTTTTGTGAATCAGCAAATGTTATTATCTACGTTCATGTAACGACACACACATACATGAATGTAATTAATTTTATTGCATAGAGATGGATCTTAAACGATAAAGTCAATTCAAGTATTTTATTCCATTTGAAAAATTGAATGTAACTTACATAAGTTTTCAACATCCTGTTGTAGCAGTATATTTTTATTAAAAATTTTTTATATCTATATTAACAAGGTTTTAAGAAAAAGTAAATTGAAATAGAATGTTGGAATAAACATTCTAAAGTATTCATTTCTATATCTTTGAATTAATCGATTTTTGTTTTGTATGCTTTGGACTGGTATAGAAAATTCGGAACTCAGCAGAATGTTTGCTTAACACTTTAATAAGCCCCGTTGCGTTACCGGCAGATCTCCATATCTCTTATTTGAACCAGCCCTAGTATTTATTAATAAACCAGTTTGGATCGCTAGGTCCGTAACTCGAAAAAAGATAAGCGACCCAAGGTACCTCCATCTTGTTAGTTCCAAATCTTGTAGAAATCGCTAGCGTAATTCTTATAGATTATAGGTGATGGCACCAAGTTCGCATATCAAGTTTTTTGGTGGAAACACACTTCTCCATCGTAAGGAAGCATAAATAACCTATTTTTAACAAAATGTCGGTCTTTCGGGATGTTACAAAAGGAATTTCCTTATATATTTCTGAAAATATACACATAGCGGTTTGCTGTTTTGTGTTATGTTCACATCACATTCCTGCAATAAGCCGCTTAAAATCAATACTAAAAATTAAAATTGTATACCTGAATGATTGTGCATTTGCTTTCAACACCTACAATACTTATACTTGAATTACAACAATATGAACATATTGAATTCAATTTTTATTATCCTTTTTTAATTTGTATTTTTAATTCTCTTTTTTTTCAGACATGACGTGCCACTATGAAATTGTTTTTTATTCATCGGAAAAAACTGCATTTAACCCTGACATGAAATCAATTGAAATTCGTAACGTAAGTGTTTTATTATTTTTCAATAACTGTACAAAATATAACAATAAAACAAAATGATATCGAATTGTATGTATGTAGGTATGATGAATTGGAAAATGTTAAAGTTTAGATAAATTTCTTGTTATGTCACTATTAGTTCCATTAATTTTTGTTACTTAACTAGGTGTTAGAAATATTGTAGTTATACAGGAGAAAATATTTTATTGTATCAGAAGTTTTATGTAAGAAATTTAATCTTGTATAGTGGAATAGAAGATTAAAAAGAAGACCATAATATGTTGAATAATTTTCTTGAAAATATTTTTTTAAAGTCCAACACATGCTCAAATTCTTTTGAATAATTAACTTTAAAAAGAATTCTTTTATAAATTTTACATCAACATAAAATTCGAAAAATATTTAATTAAAATGACGTCAATATCAATATTTATTGGCATTATTTTATGAATTTAGACAAAAAAAAATACACGAAAGTTTTTCATTCTTGGAATTTTTCTTCAAAAAAATTTAAATTACTTAAAGATTTTAAAAAAAGTTTTTAAAGAAAAACTTGCTTGCCCTTTAAAAATTTGTTTTGTGCACTATATTATGAAGAATGCAATTAAAGTTTATTTAGTGTCATATTTTAATAAAAGTTCGAAGAATTATTTGAAACTTCCACTTTCCCTTTAATTGATAATATTATGAACGAACTTTTAACTGTTAGGGTTTAAACTCTTGCAATTTATTTCGATTCGTTCATCTTACTCAATAGTTCGAGAAACACGACTTTCAAACCAAAAAATTCTCTCTTAATACCAAATATTTTTACACGAAAATAGGTGTTGCCGTGTAAATTAAGTGTAAAATTTGTGACGTTCAAAATTAAACTCTTCTTCTATGCAGATAAAAAGAGAACAATTTATTTATTTCATTACATGTATAAGGAAATAGGAATTTTTTAAAAATTTGTAAGAAAATCTACTGCACTAAGTCACCTGAGTGATAACCAGGAGACCAATATTATATTAAATCTGATAACACAAAATAAATTTTTGTCTTTGTAAAAATCTGATAACAATGAAAATATTAAAAAATATAGAGGTAGTTTTATTTTTGGATTAAATCAAGAACATAGTATGCATGTTACGTTATTTGCTTTCAAACATAAGCTTTTATATAAATCAACAGAATCTTAAGGAATCCCGTTACCATTTTATTTTGATATTTTACAGAAAAAATAAAATTAACAAGTGACTTGAGTTACGATAAGAACATGATCTAAAAAAAATTCATTTTTTTAAAGAAAATCTTTGAATTTAAAAATGTACGACAACTTTTTGTGAAAAAAGCGAAAGCAAATAAATAATGAGAGCATATATAAAATTTCTCTTTGTAATCTCGCTCTTATTTTGTTGTCAACTAATATCATGTCACACGTTCTACATGTTCTCACATAAAAAAAATTTATTATTTAACAAAAACAAAAATATTTTTATAAGCTGTACAAAATATTTAAAGAATGTACTTAAATTCAAAAAAATTTTTTTACCATTTAAAGTCAATTTGAAAACCTTATAAGCACGTTCTTTAAGGATACGCAGAGATATTTGAGATAAAATAATTTGCAAAAAAAATAATATTTTTTTAGTGATCTGCTTATTATGTTTGATTAATAGAACAATAGATGGCGTTTAATTTTTAAATTAAAGAATTTTTCCCATGATTTCAATTTTTATTTGTCAATTCCTATCACACATTTTAAAAAAATTTTAAGTCAAATTAAAATTTTAGAATAATTTAATATGAAATTAAATTTTATACTCAAATTTCACTCAAAAATAACCTTGGTTTAATTTCAAAACTCGTGCTAAAAATTTTTTTTAATATTTTTAAAGAAGAATATTTTAGTAATTATTTTATGGTTTCGCAACTTTGGAAATGTGCGGCAAGATGAATTTCAACTTTCACAGATATGAATCTGTGAAAATAAGAAAAGTTTTGAATTTTTTAGTTCTAAATATAGGAAAGTTATTAAATTTTTATTAAACCTATGAAAAGTCCTCTTCTTAATATAAGAGAAAAGAATTGTCAGCATTTTTTTGTAAGGTTATATGAAAATGTAACCATGATTTATAAATAAAAGATGTATTGTAATCGTAACGAATTTCACATGTTCAGTTTTTACCAGGATGTCTTCTTAAAGAAATGCATAAAAAGACTACATATTTTTAACAAGATGTCAATCTGCCAATATGTGTGTGTTCTTCTTTTTATCTTACGAATGTGATGCATTGAATAATTTTTCGCAAATGTCAGGTGTCAGCAATTGTAACTTTATTATAAGGGTTCCAATATTACATTTTTTATCATTTCTAAGATAATACTGAAAAGATTTTCAAGGAACCGATCAACAATATTTTCATAGAAATCAGAGATCGAAAATTAAATTTTAATTATGCGATATTTAGAAGTTTTTGATTTATATGTTCAAAAAACCCATAACCAACAGACGTTTTTTAGATTTATATTGTAGCTTTAGGTAATGTCAAAATTAAGTTATCATGCCTAGTGTAATCAAGTTTCCAAAAATCCTCCTACAGAAATGTATTTCTTTGCAACTTTTTGAACGAAGTAATACAAATATAGATTTATTAATAAATGCTAATTTTATTTAAGAAATGAAAGATGCGGTTAGACATGTGTTTTAGTCACATCAAATTTCTCTATTTTATAAATTTAATGATAAAGAAATAAGGGAAGTCATAGAGTTGAAAAATTTTATTAATTTAACTTCACAAAGAAATCATAGCACATGAGAATCTCTTCTCTTGTAAAGAATGTTTTTAAGAACCCATATACTTTTTAATAATATAAAAAAAATAAAACATTTAAAGGAATAAATGAATAGTGTATTGCACAATTATTGCATAAAATTCATATTTTATTGCATTTACTTTAATTTTGAACTTTTTAATAATAAATAACAAAAAATTTCACTTGATTTTCATTTCAATTTTATTTTTTATCATGGCATCTATGAGGTGAAGAATCTATGAGGTGAATATTATTAATGGAAGAAACCTCAAATACAATATAGAAAAAACATTCACTGTTATTTTCTTTATAATTGAAATTGTCATATAATTTAAATATTTTTCTTTACATTTATATCGCACCGCCTTTAAAATTCAATTTATACATCCGTGATAATTGACAAATTTTATAAGTGAATTTGTTGAATTTTTAAGTGAACATAGTAATTAGCTCCTTTGTCATGCATAAAACCAATTTCCACATAAATAAATTTAATTGAAAAACAAGAAATATTCTTCTTTTATTCGTTTTTTTTAGCGATTTTCAAATAAGCATAGTCAAAAACAACTTTATAGCAAAATTATGAATGTTTAGACACTAAAAAACAATAATTTACGTCGTTAGAAGCTCCATCCCCTCCAAATTAGCTTTTCTCGAAATTTGTAAAATTAAAATTTTCAGTGCCTTATATATCCCAACTCGCAACCCTTTTCAAATTTCTATAACAGCAAAAAATTAACGGTAAATGCCTCTTTCAATTTTTATATTCATCTCATCCTGAATGTATGCAATAATTTTAAAAAATTTGGTATATTAACAAAATTAATATAAGTAGCTATTAAATGGTTTAAAAAAATATTTGCGGCTGTTCAAGGGAAAAGTTCTATTTTACAAACCATTAGTCTGATCTGAATTTGATTTCTTTTTAAAAATATTTCATGAATCTAAAAATATCTCTTATATAGAAAAGTGTAAAATGTTATTGAATTCATTGACATTTCCAAAAAATTTTAATCAATTGAAAGATTTTTCTTTGTATATGACATTTTCCATACTAATAGATTTTTTTATTGAAATGAAAATTCTTCTTTGAATAGAAAAAGATTTCCAAAAAAAAACAAAAATGAAGAAAAGTATATTTTAAATAAAGATTTCTATGCGGAGAAATTCCGTTATACTATTTTCATATTTTCGTTCAAGCAGCAATTATCACAAGTTTTATATATTTTCTATTCGACACCTACTAACTAAATTTTCGAGAAATAAAATATTTTAAATTCTTTAGAATTTCAAATAAAAACTAAAAGGAATTAACTCATACATTCAATAAAGTAGGTCTTTCATAAATAAAATGATAAAAGTATACACAGTCTGAATTTACTCTCTTGTACAAAAACAGATGTTATTTTTATTGTTGCGAGATGTCTACCTGTTACCCAATTTGTTCCTATTCTATCGAAGCTCTTCGATTCTCGCATTAAACCGCATGATTGAATAATTGTGGGTGTAATGAATAGTGTAATTCATTTGTGGGTATAATGAATAATGGGCTGGTTATTGAGAGTTGAATGAATTAGGTTTTATTACTTAAATTCAACGAATTTTTTGTATATATTTTAATTTCGTTTCAAAAATATCACAAAAAATTATTTTTTCCAGCCGATTTTCCGTTTGTCCATGTACTTTTCCACTACTGTCTTAACGATTAAATATAAGCAAATGTGTTTCACAAAATTTCTTTGCCAAATGTTAATGAATATGTGAAAGTAGTCTTATTTTCGATTAGCACGGTAACTCGTAACTTTGTTATTATTACGTTTCAAGGAAAAATGAGAAAAAGAAACGTTACTTTTATTTTTTTTTTTAAATAATTAAATGGAAACGTGCTTCATTTATAACCTTTATTTAATTATGTTTACCATTTTTTACTCAATTTAATAATCCAACATTTTTATTCCAGTTCCTCTTCCAATTAATAATGGTAATTTTTAATAGAATCAAAAAAATGAATTCTTTTTCATTCCCTTTCAGTTACAAAATACCAAAAAAAACCAAATTTTTCCGCAATATAATTGATATTTTAATTGATAGAAAAAACTGAATTAATACATTGACTATATTTTTGTGAATGACCCTTCGTATTTCTTTGAAAGCGGTGTGATGTTATAATAATTGATAATAATTTGACAGCTCCATTCATTTAAATCTTTGAACCTGTCTTTATTTTGTAATTGCCAACATCTTTCATTTAATTTTATACTTTACATTCATATCTTTCGTCCCTGTTCACTATTATCTCTGGTGTTGAGGTAGCCACAGTTAATGAACCACGCTTTTCAAACATTTACTGAAATATAAATTTCTCACTAAAAGAATGCCAATATAGGCACTGGTTTTTGTGCTCATTATGAACATGAGCCAATCGCGACCCATGGAATCCATACAGTCCCCATTATTTGTCGCATAGTAGGTAAGCACAGTTCAAATAAAATAGCGAATTAATGTAAACGAGAAATAGTATAGGTTCAAGAACAGAGCCTTGAGAAAATCGCTATGCACATCATCTATTCCAATATGTGGCACCCTTCAAAGGAACTTTTTTTCAATGGCTCTCCCTCAACGAATGATCGGAACCATAGCAAAATCTTATGATGCACAAGATCAAACGAATTTCAAAGCAACTTCAAAACTGAAATAATAAATTCCAAATTAAAATTAAAATTTTAATTAATAAATAAGATATAAAAATATTTTTTGGTTACAGTCCAATATCAACTTTAACTGAATTTCGACCAAATTAATAAATATGAAAATTTTTAAAAAACAATTTTTAATAATAATTTTCATGCATGACTCCGCGTATTCTTAAAAACAATCACTTTTACAATTGAAAATATTTCACAACACAGTTAAAAATTTTAAATTAAAAATATTTTTTATATCAGCGTAAACAATAGCATTTTATTAAATTCGTTAAATTTTCAAATAATTTTTAATTTACATTAGAAATTATATAATAAGGAATTTTGAAATTAAAACAAAAATAAAAGTTTTTTTTTCTCCTTTACACTTTTTTCCACGAATTTTTATTTACCGCACGAACGTTGTGAGAAAGTCCACTACACAGCAAAAAAAAAATTATTTTTCTTCCTTATTTAATTTTCAATTTTACAAAAATTTTAAGAAAAATGTTCCGTAATAGAAAAACCGGAAAAACAACAAAAAAAGGAAATTTTCCTAAAAAAAAAAAACTTCAAAACTTTTTTTGGAAATTAATTATGCTTTTTACTTTTGTTCAAAAAACATCAAAGTAAGAATTTCAACTTTCCTATTCAATTCAACTTTCGAAAACTAAAAGTAGACAAAAGTCAAAAAAATAAAATGAAAACCTTTCTAAAAGTGTGAAATATGAATTGCGATGGCAACATTATTTGTTTTAATTGAGAAAATTTTTATTGTGGTTTTTGAGTTTTTTTTTCGTTTAATCTCTTTGTTGTAATAATTTTTATTTGTAAAATGAGATTTGAAGAATTTTCTGTAAAATATATAAATTTTAAAATTTTAGGAAATAATATCTCTGTTCTTTTAACAGAAAATCGAACAAAAAACAAATAATTTGCAGTAAAAACTAACCCACGCTACCATATAATTACACTTCAAGGGTTTGACTTCATATTAAGGTCGAATTTTTGCCGCTTAATACTTGTTAATTTTTATTTGAGTTGAGTGCTTAAAATAGGATAGGAGTATATGTTGTAGATTGGGTAGTAGAGATAAAATTTATCTTGACAATTTAACTAATTAAGCGTCATGCATTTTTCAATAAAATTTTCCTTTGTATTGTAAATATACAAATGAAAAATTATTTGATTGTAATCACCTCGAGTCCGCATTTTAAATTCCAAGCATTAGATTTTGGAACTAAATACAATGTATATTCATTGTATTCACTCATCTTATTATATAAACAAACAAGTGTTGCCACGCAGTTTCATTTTTATATGTCACAACGGCAATGTAGAATTATTGCCAACCATATATGTATATCGGATGACGAATATTTTTTGGTACAAAACTAAAACTTATTTTATTAATTGGGTATAATGAGAGAGGAAACCTTGGATATTTTATTGTCAAAAATTACAAAAAGAAAATTTAATTGAATCACAATTATTAAAATAAACGAACCACTCACTGATTGTAAAAAAATTCTTTATTAATATTCATTTTTAATTATTAATTGACAACAACAAAGAAATTCATTTTTATTTATGAGAGGACATTAAGTGAGCAGAGAACGTATTTTATATAACAGTTACGCACAATATGTATATGTATATATAAAAGAGAATAACCAATATTGTCAATATAATTTAAAATCTAATTTTAATTTTAAATAGATTTTATTTTTCTAAGAAATTTAAATGAAATATTAAGTAACAAAAAAACCCTTTTTGTACATATAAATTTACTTTATCATTTTGAACTTAACATCAAAGTTTATATACTTTTCATTATTATATACAAAATATTTTTCATTAAATACGTACGAGTATAAATTTTAAAAACAATAAAGGACACAACATAGAGACATCACTGAAAGATGCCTATCTTTAAAGAAAAATTATTTTTTTATTTTACTTTTTCAAAATTTTGAAAAATCTTTGATATTTACTTTCAAAAAGAATTAACACTGTACCACACAATGTTGTTAGCTGTTTATATAAAATGTTTTCATTAACTACAGGGTTATCAACAACTGTTTTATTCAGGATTTCATGTAAGTCACATATCTGAGCATGCACTTTGAAATATACAGCTTTGATATATTTCTCATTTAACTAATTTCTGAATTTTCCCGTATTCCTAACACATTTACTTGAAAAATACATAACTAATTTTCAACTCTATAATTCAATTAAAATTTTCATCAAACTTTAAATATTTCTGGACTTGTATTAAATTTGCCTTCAAACTTATGAAGTCTTACCAAATATTTTGCTTTGTTAAGGATTTAATTTGAAATTGTTTTATTATTTGATAGCCGGTCAAATACACAGACTATTTTATGTCCAAATGAACATTTCTTGACTTGAAGCCGGTTTCACTTCAGTGAATTTTTGATTTTATCAAAAAATTTTGCCATATTGAATTTTTTTATTTTATCAAAAAATTTTGCTTACTTTACTTGAAATGTCAATAATGATTTGAAATGTAATAGTTAAACGTCATTTCCGGTCTGACATAGTAAAAATGGAGCTAAGTCAAAGGATCGAGATGATTTCAATTCAAATACTCAAGCTACCATATAAACGAGGTAACAGCAACGTAATTAAATTATTGAAGTCGTTGTCAAATCTGTGTTGCCGTTGCGGAATTAAATTTTATTTTTTTACTCTTTAGTTTCATGTTTTCTTTTGAACTCTATTGAACAACTCTGTTTAAATTTAAAAATATCTTCAATATTTATTTTATTGGAAGATTAAATTTTTCCATATCTTTTTGTCTTTAGAAGAAATTTTCTTTTTAATTTTTTAAGAGTGTAAATTTATATAAGTATATTTATGGATAGATCATCAAATAAACAAAAAATGTCTGAGAATATTTTTAGAGTATCTATGTAGTTAAATGTAAAATATAAGGTTGATGTCTTCATTTATACTTATTGAAGGATTTTTTTATATTTAATCAACGTTTTAATAATTTTGTTTGAAAATACAAAAAGAAGAGATCAATTTTATTAATAGTACAATAGCATTGTTTTAAAGGAATTTTTTGAGTTTGAATCGTATTTCACTGGCCATATTAAATTTCAAGGATTTCATTTTAAATTTAAATAATATAGATTTTTTTCTTTAATTTAACTAATAAGAAATGTGTAAAGAATAATCGTATATAAATATGAGAATTTGACAAGAATGACATAAAAAAAGTGACGTTACTTTTGACATCTTGTCACTAAATCCAATTATAGATTATACATACTTTTTTTCTCATGTGAGTGATTCCGAAAATTGCATTCATGATTATTTTTAAAACACTTTAATCTACTAAATATGAGCACATAGGCGATTTTACACTGATATATGTATTTATTAATTTAACATTAATTAATATAAAAAAATATTTATTTTTAGCTTGAGCAATTATACAATTATACAATAGAACCTCTTGCACTCGGTACACCATACACAATTGGTATACGTAGTAAAAATACAAAAGAAGATTCAAAAGAAAGTGATTTGGAATATTTGGATATAGTAACGCCATCTTGTTTGGAACAACATAATAATGATTTAACTATATGTCGTAAGTAACTGTTATTCAATGTCAAAATACATACCTAGATAAGTATGTTTTAAGTAGGAATCAAGCGTCGCATTGCTGCGGAAGTGATTCCTACTTAAAAGGAAGTGACAGGTTTTATTTATTTATTTATTCTAGTGATTTAACAACCTCTTCAAACGCATCTTTCTCTTTCTTAGTTTTCCGCAGCTTAATTTCTGAAAAAAAAAAGAATCGAATTCTGCTAAAACAGAAAGTTCACAATATGCTGTAAATATAAGCTTTAAAATCTTTCTATAATAACATTATTGATAAAATTTAGAAGCAAAAATGTTAACTAATTTTTTTTTAATCCCTTAAAAGTAATGCAAAGGAAGGTTTTTTTTATGTTGAATTTAGATTGCCAGGTGAGAACCAATCATATTGTTTTTAAAAATAATATTTTTTTTTCAATTCTCATGGGATTTTTTTTTCATATTTGATCTTTTTTCTAATGTAGACTACTACGCAAAACTGAGTTGAAACAACAGGAAAAAAACATCCAATTTTCTAGTTCATTTAGATTTTTAATTTTCTTCATTTTTAAAATTAGGTAATATTAAATATCGAGTCTTTCTCAAACTACAGGGTTATTTATAGAATGAAATTGCTTGGAAATCAATTTCGTTAATATTGTGGATTATTAAGAAAATTCAATATATGTATACTGTTATATAACAGATGCTCAGAGTGGTAGATTTACTTATAAGATGAAAAAGCTACAAACTACGTTTGGTGGATTACACGGTTGCGTCACACGGATGCGTTAAAGACCTGTGTCGGACGAATGCAGGGGCGTATAAGGTTTGGCCTAGAAAGTAGGGGCAGTTGCAGATTTTGTGAGGAGGATGAAGGTACCTCAGTGCACTATCTGAGAGATTGTGGGATTCTTACCGGCAGGAGGTGGTAAATAACTGGGAAACGTATTGAATTCGGAAGAACTTTTCAAGTTTCTAATTCTATTCGAAATTCTATTCGAAACTGTTCTTTTATCACCCCATATATATTTCAAAAATTTGAATTTTCTAATATCGATCTAGAATTGAAAATTCTACGTAATTTCTATTGTAATTTGAAGTTAAACATAATGTGTAACTGAGTGAGAAATGAGAAAATTGTAGACCAAAAAGAGAAAATTCTTGTTCTTTTTGTTTCTGAGAAAAATAGAAAAAATATTGAAGAAAATTATAAAGAAAATATAATTGAGCATAAATTCAAAAAGAGGCATATAGTCATCACATTTACACTACATACATAAGGTATAAGCTATGATAACAAATTCAAATTCAAAGAAAAAAACCAAATAAAAAATATCAAATAAATGTCAAGAAATTTTGTTTAACATTTCGTTATGGCTCATGGGATTCATTATTATTGTTATTGTGTCTTATTTGTTTTTCTTTTCCGAAATTTTTTTTTTTGCATATACTGATATCTTTCACTACAACAAATTTTAAGAGTGTGAAGAGAGATTGTACTAAAATTCTAAGTTGGAATTTATTTAATTTTTTTATATTTTTATATTTCAATTTACCACCCATAAGCTTATAGAAAAGAAAAGAAACAAAAAATATAATTCGAATATTCTGAGAAATTTTCTCTCCTTGGTTTTCACATATTCAAAATATGCGTTGCAAGAGTAGTCAATTACAATATGTAGTAAGCGTGTATGTTTCCATTTCACTACTCTAACACGCATAATTTCCTTGTTAGGTTTGTGTATAATATTGTGTGTTATAACTTAGAGTGAAAACAGGAAATTAAGTATTTCACATAAATTAGTTTGGACATTCCATTAATTTTTACTAAAAAAATTTCAGAATTAAAGAAATAAAAAAAAGTAAAATATTTAAAGAATAAAATTGGTAAATAAATATTGTTTTTTGTTGTATTTTGTAGCCCCATCGACACCAAGAGAACTTGAAGCACATGAGGAGATTTTATCATTAAATGAATTTTCAATTAATATAACATGGGAGAAACCATCTTTAGAACCTGATTATTATACAATAAAAATTTTGGATACCGAATATGAGAGTAATGAATTTACAACAATTAATCACACCAAAAATGCTACCAAGGTAAACTATGTAAATTTTGTATTTAATTTGAATTTTTTTGAATTTTGATGATCGCGGTTATTTACGTTATTTACGTGGGTGATACAATTTTTTGCTCCTGTAAATGTTTCAGCCTACATAAAGAAGTAGTGAAATTGTATATGAGTAAGAATAGTTTAGTTAGATCCTATAGGTGTTATTTTTGTCATGAAAAATTGCTGATATTTGTCATTTGTATATAGGTTAGAGTGTTGTAATTCTTAAAAAGGGTTTATATTTTTCAAGAAAATGTCAAACCTAGGAAGTTAAAATTTTAATGTATAAATTAATTGTGTGTTTGATTTAAAAACATAATCAATTTGCCATTTTAATTCAATTTTCAAAAATTGTTATTCATCGGTTAGTTTATTTTGCTTGCATATTCATTTAATAACTTTAAAACTTTTCGAATAATATTAGAATTTTTTAATACTTACTGAATTGCCTTCAATGAGAAAAGTATTTTTCCATCGTCAAATTTCTTCAGCTTTTACGCCATTTAGCTGCCCTGAAACTTACAAGCTTTTCAGGATATGTTGCAGGTGTCTAGAGAGCAGATCGTTATTACGTAAATGACTAATTTGTTTTAAATAATACTGCTTCCAGCAGCTATTTTGAAAATAATTGTTAATTAATAATATTATTAGAACCTATTAATTGTCACTGGCCCCTTACTTCCTTTTTAATAATTTATTTTAATATTGTGCTTTCACATTTCCCTAAAATTATCAAAAATATTTCAAAAATCACAAATTAAATTATCAAATAATTCTTCAGCAGTTTCAGTTGATAAAATATTAATAAAGAATAAATATTTTATTTAATTAAAAAAAGGGTAACAGAAAAAAATATTATAATTAAAAGCAGAAAGAACAGTGAAAAATAAAAATGTCCTACGATCCTTTGTAGAGTATTTTTTTTTTCAATTCTATAAAAAGGATATTTTATAATAAAATTGTGATTTATTTTTGCTTTCTCCTTTTTTATAAAAAAAAATATCACCTTGAGCGTTTATATTTAATTTTTTCTTACTTTAGGAATATAAAAGTAAATAATGTGAACAATACAAAAAAAGAAAGGAAACAAACATTTTAATTATTAAATTCAGTTTCAATAATTTTTATAACTATAAATACTTCCAATTATGTATGTAATAACTAAATGTATTCCAGGAAGAACTGGCAGAAATTTGTATAGAACATTTGGGTATTTTACGAAAATAATCAGATTTTTACACAACCGGCTCTGATGATCCAAACTATTTCTTTCAAAATATTGTGATTCTATTGAGTAGACCTAAAATTACATAAAGTAATGTTTTAAAACTTCAAATTTCCTAAATCCAAATAAGCCCATAATGGGAAACATAATGTTCTAATTGACTGCATAAACTAATTGAAAATCTAGCTGAGAATTTACGAAATATTACAAATAAATTTCAACTTTTACAATTTACAATTTTTTAACATCTATCATATTTTAACTCTAAAATTACGGTGAACCAAAAAACAAATGCTTATAAATTGTGTTGAAGCTTATTCACCTTATTGTTTATTAACACTTAATGAAATTAATTTAAATAGCCTAAAGGAAATTTTTTAATTGAAATTTCCATTCCTTGAAAATTATAAAAATACCAAAATAATTAAAAATGTTAAAGGTGATGAAAGAAAATTAATTGGAAATACCCGAAATAGACATAATTTCTAAGAGAAACCCAATTCAATTTTAATCAATCTAGGTAATTTATTTTAGATTATCATTCCATTGGTCTTCTGAATAAGGTATGACACTATATGCTCTCGAAAATTTCGTAAAAAATACATAAGAATTTCGTAAAATTACGATTAGACTAATTCAATTACTATACATGTGTCCGTCCATATATCTGGCCTAATGTTCCAAATTAGACTTAAAATAAAATTCATAAGGTTTATTTTAGTAAAAATGAAAATTTAAAGTCTGATGGCCAAAATAATAAAATTTTGAATTTCTGGCTTTTTTTTAGCAACAATATTATTTTTTGAAAACGGAATATTTTTAATCGACTCGCATTAACCCTTTTATTCCCAATGCGCCCGTATATAATAAAGATTTTGAGGTTTTGACTTAATTATTTTAAAAATCAATAAATAAAACAATTATGTCATGGAAGTTAAAAATCTGTAAATATCACTTGGAACAATAACAATATAATAATGTGTAGGTGTCCATCTAACCGATAACCTTAATAAATTATTTTTTCCGATGTTTACGTGTAGAATATGAACTTTTCTTAAAATTTACCTTATAATTTTCTTAATCAAACAATTAAGTAATGCTTTACTTAAATAACTTTTTTTCAGCATTCATTTTTCAATACTATTTAAAAAAAAGTTAAGTGAATTACTAATAAATACAACGTGTAGTTTTGTAACGAATTACTATATTGCCCACACTTTGTATTTGAAAAACCTTCTTAAAAATTTTATATAAATAAATTGATTTATTATTTCAAGAATACTTAAATGTTATTGTATTTGTAGGATCAGAACTCTTTATTTATACCACATATAATTTTGTATGGGCACGGATATGAAGTATATTTGACAGCTTATTCGAAAGGTGGAAATGCAACAACATATGTTAGAAAACCTCATAGGAAAATCCATTTTCCAGGTAAGATTTTCTTATTTCATTAAAACTTTTTATATATAAACTTTAGTTTTTTTGTTTATTTTCTTCTTTTTTTTAAACTCATGTATGTTTAAATTTATGTACGTAAATTTGTTTGTACAGCGACTTTTTTTCAAGAGGGTTTATTCATTTTGCCGCAACTATTGTTAAATATTGTGTGATTCTGACTTAAAACGTACAACCACCTAGCGTTCGTTTTAATCAATCGCGAAAGTCATACATTTCATTGTTACCTCCTCATATACGAACTTTGAGTATTCGAAGGAGTTCCGAAAATATTTCCGGAAGAATTGATTTTTATAAATCAAATAATTAAATTATGTTCATTAAACTCTCAAAATAACAAATATAATAACAAATAGTAAAAAACCCAGCCATTATATAAGTATAATAAGTAGTTTCTATTGAAATATTCCAATTTGCAATAATTCCACAAAAATCATTTTAATAATTTCGTAGCAATTTTTTACAGTAACAAAAATATTTGTCATTCATTACAATATGCAATATACAATGCACATACAATCTCAAATATACCTGCCGTATTTATCTTAAAATCAATATCTCATACCTACTATTTATAAAAATAAGTCGTTTTTCCCACAGGAAATGCTCTCTTTTTTGCAAAATAAATTAAATACTTTATTATATTATTGAAGTTGTATATGTATACCTCTGGTTGAAAAAATATGTACTATAATACTTGTAGTGGGATTTCTTTCTTCTTATAAAATATATTGCCCTCTCATTACATTTCATGAATTAAAATATTAGTATTACTTACACATACATAATTTATTTTTACCGTTTTTCATAAATGAATGATTCATTGTACATTTTTAATAAAAATCGCTTAAATTAATTAAACTGGTTCATTACATTCTGAGAATATAATGTTGATATAATGAAAGAAAGGTGAAAGTCATAGGTTTTTCCGCATGTAGAATTTTATTTAAAAGATTTCTGGACAAATATAATTATAGTGAAAATTGATTGATTAAATTTTATATAGATCAAAAGTGATTTTAAAAATAAATTAAGTTTTTTAAGCTTTTGAAAGTCTACATTAAAAATTGCAATATTTCGGGTCATACCATAATAAAATGAATTTTTCCCGGAGATTCTCTTAAAATATAACGGTAAATAGAGTCCGAGACTAATATTATTCATATACTTTTTAAAAAGCCGTAATACAGGCGCCACTTATTAGTTATTATGTAAGGTTAAATAAAAATTAGTTTATTTTTTAGTTAATTAAAGAACTTCAATATTCTATTTCTAATCCGCAAGGTTTCAAATGCTAAACGGCTAGGTCATTTAAGACAGTACACAAAATAAAACCTGTAAAACTGTTATCGAAATCCTTTAGTTCAATAAACTTATTTTTAAACAATCTCGTTAAGGGGCTCTTCTTTTTTTGTTTCAAAATGTAGCCTCTGTTAAAGTTTTGTGTAATTTCAGAATATCGCCTGATGTAGTCATAATTGAGTTTATTTCTCATATATTTAAAATTCACTTCGCAAATATACATATATATTTCATTATAAATTTATCCAAAAAAAAAAAAATTAATAAATTAAATTTTTTTATTTATTTTTTCAATAGTTGACCATTTTCTTTGGGGAACTTTTATATATGAAATTATTGTCCTTTTACTGGTATTTGTCGTCATCACTGTTATAATATTCGTAATTTGTCATCGACGTGCAAAAATTAAACGTGATAAGGAACGTTGCAAATATTTTGAGGTAAGTACATATAAATTTTTATTTTTGTTGTTATTTTTAGTAGATAATATCCTTATTCCATTACTTACATAACACAATTTTGTGTAAAAGCAAAAAATTACATATAGAATGTTGAAAGGATTTATTCATGCGTATATATTCATATACTCGTAAAACTTACAGGTTGAAATGAAAGTTAATGATGGACTAGATGTATTACAATATAAACCAAGGGTTTCCAAACTATTCAGCCTAAGGGCCACAATAATTGCACCAGTAAGTTCCAAATGCCAAAACTGTATCAATTTTTTTTTCATTATCTTTAATTTCACGGCATTTTATTAGATTTTAATGGTACACTTTATGTATTTATGATGTGGGTATGTATATATATTTCTGAAGATCCTTTTCGCAAGTAGGAATTATAAACAAATTATAATTCTATAATGTACTTCTTTTGTCGTTATACTTAACTAAACCTTTCATTTTCATACTGTTCTTGTTATTTACCTTAAATCAACAAACAAATAAACGAAGTTATTTCAATTAATACTATTGGAAGAATAAACCATTAGCGGACCATATTGATTAAAGTGGCGGGCCGTAGCTTAGAAACCCCTGGTTAAACAAACATTGTAACAGCATTAATTTGCACAATAAATAATGTTGACTCATTATTCTCTTTTTTAATAGAATAAATGAATAGCTTTTCTGATACTGTAGCATTGTTAATTAGAAAATACTAATAAATATTAAGCTACTGACACTAGACATCCACTTCATATACATTCTCTGCTGTAAAATAGTAACCTTAAAAAGAGACATACTTTCATAGATATGTTTATGTACATAATTTATTTAAGGGTCGTTATTTCCCCTAAATTAATGAAAATAAGAGTAAAAACATTTCATAGAGAATAATTAATTTCGATATATCGAGTATCGATTTATTATTTTGTAAACAAAGATTTTTTTAAGGTGTTTAACTTTTATTTTTTATAATTTTTAGGAATTAGAAAAGAAAGCCCCAATGGATCCAAATTCAAATTTTGAAATTGTTGGTCGTAATATGTCATTAGAGCAATTACAACTTGATTTAGAAGACAAATTATTTTTTAATGATGAATTAGAAATTAAATTAATTGATGTTGATCTATTTGAAGTAATTGGTGAAGGTGCATTCGGTATGGTAAGACGTGGTAAATTAAAAACTGGTGAAAAGAAAGAAGTTGATGTTGCCGTAAAAATGTTAAAAGGTTTTTAAAATGGAACAAAAAAAAATTTTTTTTTATTTGTAATTTTTATGAAATTTATTTTTCAGATCAAGCATCAATTGAAGATATGAAAACATTTCGTCGAGAAATTGAAGTCATGAAATCAGTTGGTAAACATCCGCATATTGTAAATATTGTTGGTCATTATACAAAAAATATTAAAGAAATGATGTTATTAACAGAATATTGTAGCCTTGGGAATTTATTAGATTTGTTGAGGTAAGAAGAAATATTTTATATTGAATGCATGTAAGTAATTGTTATAATTCTATTTTAAGGGATTTGCTTCTCCCTTTGAAATCTGTGATTCTTTATATTTTACCACCTTGAATTTTTAGAATATTCCAATCAGCAGTTGCTCCACCAGTATAGAGACAAATATGTTTGATATACCAAATTGTTACTTGGTTAATGGAGATTGTAAATGTGCTAAAATTCAGTTTTCATGACAATGCCCTTGTTCTTAGTTTTCAAACTCATACGTAGTAATGCTTTTATTCTAGAAAACAAAGAAATTATGCTCAAAATTAAAAATTTAATATATAAAAAATTCCTCTAATATGATTTTTTAGGGCCTGCTCACTATGAAACCATAAAATCTCAATATAAAATTTTACCCATTCATAATAAGGGCGATATATTTATGTATAGTGGTGCATTTAGAACAGAATAATCCTGTTTAATTCAAAACAAGACTATGCTTATGTCACAAATTTAAATATTTTTATGAAAATAATGTTAAGGAAATCAGATTAATTAATTAATTACTTAATTTGTTTAATTAATTCTTATTATATTAATAGAGATTTTATACAAAATATTTTTTTTGTAATTTTTTATTAAAAAATATTAATTTATTAAGTTACAATTTGGTAATTCAAGAATTTTAATTTTTTTTATGTATAAAAGTTTTCATTTAAAATATTTTAAATAATTAATTAACTTAAAACTTTTGAACTTAAAGAGTTAAATAAGAAAATATTGAATTTATCTTAACAAATTTCAATATTACATGACAGATTAGTCTTTTCAAAACATTTTAAAAATTTTGATCAAAAACTTCAAGATTTTACCACAATAGATTATAAAAATGAAATTTTCCAACTCATATCAAAAAATAATTTTAGAGAAAACAAAATATGAATCCTTTTCAAAAATTTTATCTCATTTAATTTTACAATATTTCGCACAAGGAAAAAATGAAAAGGATATTTTTTCCAATCTTTGTTTTTCTTTATTTTTTTAATATTTTCTTTAACTCTTTCCAAAGTTTGATTGGAAAAAAAAATTTTTTTTCTTCTTCTAGAAAAAGAAACCATGGATATAACAAAAAAGCATAACTTCTTTTCTCGTTAAGTATTAAGGATTCTTCAAGGATTTATATTTTTTCCTTTTATTTAAGAGATCAATTTATTTAAGAGATACTAGGTAGATAGACAGATAATATTTGAGTTTATCTGAGCACGAATTACATGGATAACATGTTGTGCTTGTAAATCCAATATAGTAAACTATTTTCATTTTGCTATAATAAATTGTGTCTTTAGTGTATTATAAGAAAATTGTTTAAGGAACTCATAGCAAATTTAAATATAAAAATGAATAAGCATAAATATAAATTTGTGGTTAATTTAAAATTTAAGGAATTTATCTTTTGAAAAAACATTTTGGAATTTAAATTCTGTACTTTATTGTTTTGAATTTACATTGAGCAACAAGTTATAAATTCCGTTTGTTTATTATAAGTTTTCAATTTGTTTTTGTCATTTACTTTTTAAATGTTACGTTCAATATAAATATTGAAAATAACTATGCTTAAGGTGGTCCATTCGAAGATGTTCAATTTTTGACTACTTTTTCAGCCGAAATGTCATTCTGCGTTCGAAGCAGCAATCGATGTTATATAGTCGATATTATCTAAAGATTTCAAGTATTTTTCTTTCCCTTCACAAGACAATATAGTATGGATTCGGCAAATCAAATAATCTCGGAAGTCAACCGATAATTTTAAGTGTATATGAATAATTAATTTGTCAAACTGACGGTTTATTGTTTACTTAATTAAATAACTTAATAATTTAGAAGCTTTTCCTGGACTTTCGCTTCCTCATTATGGAATTGCCAAACGCATTGAGTTGACTTTGACAATAATTACAAGTGCAATAAATTGTGCTTGAAGTCGCAAACTCAGAAAATCCTAATAGCGAAAGAAATATCCGCCATATCTAATTTTCAATGCGATGGTTGAAAAAAAAATGAGGCATTATCATTCGATCGCAATGAGAATTCTAGCACGAGGTTTGTTTTAACTCACTCGAATGAATCTAAAACAATTTGAGAACATGTTTGTTTTTGTTTCTTTCTTTAGTGTTTTCTAAGCTCCATCTGGGGTTTAATAGCTAAATTTTAAATTTTATTTTAATAATAATAACTTGCAACTATATAAGCATTCTTTATGACATTTAAACTATCACATATTATGAAAAAATTTAAACAAAAAATTTTAATATGAAAATACCACGAATTTGATTTCTACTCTAAAGCTTAAATCATAATATTCTAAGTATTTATAGCATAAATTTTGCAATATTAAAATATTCCATGAAAGTTTTTTCTTTTTGCAATATTCCCCTAAGATACTGCATAATTATATTTTTATTCATAAATTTAAGATAAATTTTTTTAAATATTTTTTTTTCAAATGAATAAAGAATCCGTAACATATGATTCTACACAAAATTTGAATTTAAGAAAATTCTATGAGGAATTACACGTGCACAATATATTTTCTACAAAATATCTAAAAAATATTTTTAAATACTTTAAACCAAATATAATTTGTGGGGAGAAGCATTTTTCCTTTGAGGAACAACAAAATTTTTTGATTGATCCTATTTTGAGAATTTCTTTCATTTTATATCTTAAAATCCAATTAGAATACCATGTGAATCTAATTGAAAAAGTCATAGTTAGAGATTTTTACTGTCAAAAATTACTTACAGCTTTTGTTTGATTTAATTTAAATTTGATGTTGTTTATGGATAAAGTGTTTTATGGATTTTGTTTTATTGAAAAAATTTAACGTCATCCAGTTATCCAAATCCGTTAGCAAAGATTGATGTCTGATAATCGTCTTTCATTGTTTAGTGAATTCAATTAATTAGTATTTTTAAAATATGTCAATATAAAATTTTGAAAATTTTGAAAATTATGGAAAATTTTTTCAAATAAATCTTGGATGAAAAATAAAATAAAAAATTGCAAAAAAAATTTTCTGCATACAAAAATCTCTCCGTCTCTCTCTCTTAAAGGAAGAGAACTTAGCGTAAACAAAATTTTAGTAGATATGTAAGCGAAAAATATTAAGCAAGTTTATTTTTCAATACTTCAAATTTATTTTTTAAAAACAATTTTTATTAGAAAGACAATGTTTAAAACATATTGTAGAATTGAACTTTAATGTCAGAGAATTTTTTTCCATAATTATATTTAACTTTATACAAATCAAAAGTAATTATCTTTTAAAATTCAACAGTTATCAGTTTAAAAGGGTACCCTTATTATATTAGCATTAAATTAAATGATAATAATCTTGCATAACGAGAGGATGTTCTTCAATATAGAAATTTTAAAATTTTGAATTAAGAGACAAGGTTTTTTTTTTTTTTGTAAAATAAATAAAATAATTTCACAGTATTTTTTTATTATTAATTAAAATTTAAATTTATTATGCATTTTACTTTTTTCGCAAAATAACCTCAAAGTTGTTGGACAAAATGGTGAAAAATTCTTTGGAAAAATTTTAATTTTTGTAATCTCAACAAATGCATACTTTATGAAATGATAAATGAATGCTTAGAATGTATATTTTTTAATTTAATCTATGTTGTTCTTTTTTATTTTGAAATCCCAAAAATCTGATAAATAATTTTAAATTTTTATTTAAACCAAAATTTGTATAAAATTCTCTTATTAAATAAATTCAAATTTAGACAAAAATTTACAATTGGTTGACAAAAATTAAACATAAAAGAAAAGAAAAATAAAAATTTGACAGTGACATGTTTTTTCGAATATTTTCAAAATAAATTTATAATTTATTAAGCCTTGACGCCGATTAAAAATGTTTGAAAAAAAAAATATAAAATTCAGTCTATACAAAAAATTTCCATTAATTCATTAAAAAAAATGTTTAATAATTTTTTTTTCTTTTTTTTTACCATTGATTAAAAATAATACACGAAATACAATATAAAAACGATAGGTAGAGTAAATTGTGTAAACTTTGTAAACGGATAATATTGAGAATTATATAAGAGTTGCCGTGAGGATTCTTTACATATCAAACTATTCTGTGTGTTGCATGAGAACGAAATTTTGTAAAGCCGTAACAAATTAATCAAATTATAGAGTTAATTGATTGATTACATTCTGTTACATATTTATTTTTATACAAAGTCGATAATATTTTTGAGACACAAAAACTCGGAGATGATATTCTAGATTGTTTTCTGCTTTTCATTCATTTTGTGAGAGATAGAGTAAGAGGTTAGAATAAAAGGATAGAAAAAAGTTTAATATAAGCACATTATTGCTTAATTTTGTTGAAAATATACTAAAATCTTTATAATATTATAGAAACGACACGAATACAATACGAATTTTAATTTTTACAAAAACATTATCGTAGGAATGTAAAAAATAATTTACCAATTTTATTTAACTAAAGTAAGATAAGATCAAAATCAATTCAGTTTAAGTGTGTCATTAAGAAATTTTGAAAAAAAAATTTTTTAATGCCACAGTTCAATATGATATCAAAATAATTTTTCTATTCTATTTTTAGAACACAGGAAACCCAAAAATTTATTCTCAAAAGATTATAAATTCGTTTACTTCTTCTTTAAAATTAGTATGATGAAAAAATCAAAAGCAAACAATTTTCGATTTCATTTCAAGAAAAAAATTTGGAATATGGTTTAATTTTTAGTAATAATTTTTTATTCTGCTTCATTTTGTATTAAAATTTTTATTGACTCTATTCATGCATTATATTTGTATGTATATAAGTATGTATTATGCATACCATTAAAATAAACTTAATTTAATATTTCTTAGGAATTCTATTTTGCAAGGTTATCTACAATATGTGCGTTAGTATGGAATGATAAGCATGCAATTATTAATTAATAAAGAAAGCCTACATATAAATGTCATAAATTTAGTCTAGTATTTGCAATATAGGTATAAATAACGAACATATCGGAACCTTCTTCAAATAGCAATTTTTTGTTCCAGCTGTGCTGTGATTCTTCTGAAGTGAATTAAATTCTTTTCAGTGTTTGACCTTCTATGAGTGAGTAAAGTCAAAAAAAAAAAAAAATATTTTAATGTACTTGAAGACATTCGAAGAATTCTCCATCCCCTTTTTGTGATTATATTTTCATTTTTATATGGAATTAATTTTGATGATATAAGAATTTAAAATATGCACATCTTTTAATAATAAAAGAATTTTTGATATTTAAATTAAAATGCCTAACAAATGCCAACACAATTTACATAATCATGCGGTAATTTAGTGTAACCATTGGCATGATTGACATTTTAACTATCTTGTCTTTTTGTACAGTATATGGAATGATCGATTTTGGTTTTTGTTGAAAACTCTAAACATAGTTATCTCCACTTAAAGTATTCGTTTCTTCTAAAATGAAAAAAAAATTGCTTTCGAGTTTAATTAAAATAAGCAAGGAATAAAAATATTTCAAAATTTAAAATTAAATCATTTGTCATTGTTAAACAACTGCAATTCAATGCTTTAACATACATTTCCATTCAAATGTGTGTTTGTATCTCTTTTATTTACAAAAAAAATTTAAATTACGCTCTATATGCATATACATAGGAAAATTATTAATGTATCCAAAAATTTTATTCAACCAATAAATTTTAATTAGGACAAACAATGCGAGTATAAATTAAAACTATTTAAAAAAACAATTTGATTCAATCAAAAAACAATTTTATTCGTTAACAAAATTGTGTTATATTATAATTGACCTGGTACGAAAATAAAAATACTAATAACTATTTTGAAGAAATGAATGGAAATCAAAGAAAAATCTAGATTATTTTGCATGCGACGCGCTTTTGTTGGCGTAATTTGGTTTCAAATCAGATATAGCCTAATAATTTCATATATACATTCCTTTCTAACAATTTTAATAATTTGCAAGCTTACTAAATAAGAAGCTATTTGAATTAACAATTCCATAGGATCATCAACTAAAATGTCAAAATAAATAATTTTTGCAATGATTAATAATTTAAATTTTCAAGTTAAATGACATTTAAATATTCACCACTTTTACTTATGATTTTTGAATAATTAAAAATATTTCAAATATCAAACAAAAAAAAAACTTTTGTTATTTTTGACATGTTGATTTTTTTTTTTGATTTTATATTAAAAATATTTTTATTTAATTTTTGTTAACATTCATATTTTTCTCTCTTTTTTTCAAAATTTAAAGAGCGGAATGGCAAAGAATTAATAAAATTGTTTATATTCAAAAAACAACACTAACGCCATCAAATTCACCACCAGCCGTACCATACCATAATAAATATAGTATGAATAATAGTATATTCAATTGTCGTGATAGAAAATTTTCAACAATGGGACATAAAAAAACTGAAAATATTTTTAATTTTGATAAAGGAACAACATTAAAATATAAAAATATTGGCGATGATAATAAATTACGAGTTTATAAAAGAAGACCAAAGAGTCAAAATATCACTCCAAATAATGCTAGTAAAATTAGCCGAAATAATACAAATAATGATCAACATCATAATCATCATCATCATTATCATCATCATCATAGACATAATTATCAATATAATAATTATCATAAACATTATCAAAAAAATAATGATGATTTAAATAAAAATAAAGATGAAACAACAGCAACAACAGCAACAGCATTTAATAATAATAATCAAAATAGTAATGATAATATACAATTTAATAATCATATATTAAAACAAAAATCTGATAATAATAATGATAATATTAGTATTGCAAATGTGATTAATGATATAGATAATACAAAAATTGATATTAAAAATAATGATATTATTGATGATGATAATACAAAATTAGTTATTAATAAAGGATATGGATTACAATCGGGTTTTTGTACAAATTTTTGTAAATGTCAAGTTGACATAATCGATACATTAACAAATTCAACAAATTTAAATGAAAATGAAACAGGAAATACAGTTATGATACCAACACAATCAAATCAAATTAATATTGTAAAAGACAATAATGCAATACCAAAAGAAATTAAAACAACATCAAGATCAACATTATCGACAACATCATTATCATCACCATTACAATTAACAATACCACCAATAAAAACAATATCAACAACAAATGAATTAAATTTAAAATCACCAATATCAAATAAAATCTTATTTCCAATGTGCCTTAACGAAACAAGAATATCAATTGATGCAATTGATAATAGTAATTGTTTAAGTGTTCATAATGATAGTAGTCAATTACTTGATTCAAATGGATCTGATGATACAATACAAGAACCTGTACCATCAACAATAATAACAAAATCATCATCAATAACAGAAACAACAACATTATCAACACAACAAAATTTATTATTAAATAACAATAGTAATACCAATAATAATAATAATAAAAATTTAAAATTATTTAATAATAATTATAATAATAGTAATAATAATTGTAATAAAATACAAATAAAAAATTGTGATTGTAAATTAAAATCATCAAATCGAAATCGTATTAAAAGTTCATCAAGTAATTTAAATGATGATGAAACAGCAACAATTGCAACTACAACAACAACATTAACAAATGGTTCATCAACATTATTAATTGAAAATCAAGGATATTATAAATTTTTAAATTCTAATATTCATAATAAATCAAATACAATTAGTGATCTGACATTAAATAATAGTAATGAAGGTAATCTTAATTATCATGCAAAAAATAATAGTAATAACAATATTAATAATAATAATAATGATAATGAAAATAATGATAATAATGATAATAATTGTAATGTTGATAGTGAGCATAATATAATTGAAGAAGATGATAATGATATTATTTTCAAAGGATATTCTAACTATGATTTGATTAATATCGCAAAACAAATTGCTATGGGAATGGTAAGTCTACAAATTTTTACCAAAAAAAAATTTATAAACAAAATTTTAATATAATTTTAACCATTGGCCAAGAGGACAAAATGGCGGATCACTCATTGTGTGAATACGAGGCACTAGCTCGTTTACCCCCAAAGAATCCTCGCAGCTTGTGATAATGAGAATCACAAAAGATTTTATAGTTCGACGTGAAAAAAAATAATGACCCACCATTACATACACACATTAATATTTTTCTTGCGAAGAATAACCTTTCTAGAAATTTAAAAACATATATAATAGAAACTGGTAAATTAGACCACTAATTTGACTGATGTCAATTTAGGTGTCATTTCAAGTTTCAATTGCGAATTTTAAGCTTCGATTGCTTTATACACACTTTAGGTTTTAATAATATCTAAAAAATACCAATTACAAACTCACTCACATTAAACTACAAACTCACTGTACATTAAAGTTCATAGGGTGTTTCCTGAAGTTCTACAAATCTGAAATTCGGTGTGTAAGTTAATTTTATTATTCAAGCATCAAATCAAAAGCTTGAAATTTTTGCTCCTCAAGCTAGTGGGATTTTTTATGTAAATTCAGCATTAAATTACGAAAAGTCAAGTGCAAAACAGAAATTACTATAAAAGGAAACTACTACAATATGAAAAAAATTTTATTGCTTATATTTAAAGAACAGTTTCAATAGTCTATTTTCAAGATAATTTAAAAAATGTATTAGAAAAAATTTTAAATTAATTTTAAAGTATTCAATTTCAGTTCAAATATCGCTAAGGATACTCAAATGAACCGTCCTATAACAAAGACAATTATTTTTTATTTTCAAATAACTGTTCTAGCCTTACTATACATTTTGTATAGAGTCTACATCTTTAATATTCAATTTAAAATGATAATATTTTCCAAACAAGTCTACATTATGTTTATAAAAGTAAGCAATAATAATTATTATTTTCTACTACGTTATCCTTGTCTTAAGTTTGTAATATTAAAAAATCAAGAGAAAAAAAAATCACATTATCACAATTAATACTCTTCTCCTTTAAAAAATCAAAGAAATGTAGAAGGAAAAAATTTAATTAAATTTTAAAACACTTAACACATTGATCAGATATTATTACAGATTGCTTCTTTAAAACAACAAATTCTAAATAAAAGGAAAAAAGGAATTGTGTAATTGAATTCTAAATTTTCAAAACAAAAAATAGTTCATTTGAGTGAGTTCAATAAACTTTTCTATTAGGGACATAGAATTAAAAATATTTCAAATAGATTTTCTTTGATTTTTCTTTGATTCAATGTCGTTTTCTACAGAATTATAGGGAGGAAGATACTTAATATAGAGCACGTGCCAGTTTTATGGGGAATCCATTGTAATTTGTATGAAGGTTGTAATTCGTCATAAACAATGGAGTTCACAAATCATAAGGAAATTATCTTATTAATTATGATTTAAAATTGAATTTAGTTTAAAAAAAATTACCTTGAAATCGACCTCACTTACAAGACACTTTCGATAAATAAAAAAGCATTCTCGATTATACACTTTCTTTGTAAAATAGCCTATTACATGTTTATTATAATTTAAAAATTTAAACTTCTTGAAATTTTGTAATCAATTACAGTAAAGGGAGACGCATATAGCTTCCAGAAAAGCATAAAAATATTTTTTTTTACTCACAGTTTCCAAATATCTTTTAATTTATTTCGCTTTTGGGTGTCTTCAATTCTTCAATTCTTAATCAAAAGATTAAAGTTTAAATAATTAATCTTATAGAAAGGCAAAAATAAATCCAGACAAAAATTATACACTATAGTCTCCAAAAAAAATTCATATTTTGTATAATGTCCTTGAATTTATTTTCTACGCAGTTAAAGAAATATTATTTAATTTTCATTTCAATATTATTTAAGAAGATCCATAGAATAACATTTCCCATTTGAAATCTATACCCTCTTACATAATTTTGTATATTAATGATTGAACAAAAATATTCAAAATATTTTGATTCCTTGAATATCCTTATTAAAATCAAATTTTCTTAAAGATGAAATTAATAACAAATTACGAATAGATTGTTCTTATTTAATTTACAATTAATAGAGTGAAAAAAAATATATGAGTTTTTAATATAAGAGTTTTGAAAAGCATTTTGAAGAGAAAATTGAGAAAAAAATGAAAAGTAGAAATTAGTCAAAATAGAGAAAAAAGTTATAAATATTGATTTAAGTTTTTCTCAGAAATTTTGTTTATATTTACATATGTAAAATACAATCAATTTAGATTTATGAAATAAAACTTTTCTACTATAGAAAATTATAGAAGAATGTAAGCATTTATAACTAAACAAAATTAAAACTTACAATTTTCATTTTTTGAATTCATGAAATATTTTTGCTCACTAATAATTCATTGTGAATAGCGATAAACATTGATTGTGAATAATTGATATCAATTTATTATGTAAAATTTTAACTGTTAGTTCTTACTCATAAGCCAGAATACGTGAGATGATTAATAAGTCACCACAACACAACTAATTCATTCTCTTGTTTTTACTTATTTTATAAATTTGATCTCTCCACTCTCTATCTTCCATTTTTACTTTATTCTTTCAAAAATTTCCAAATGTCTGACTGTCTAAATTAATAATTTATCATTGTTAGACTAATATTCGCGTATTTGTTTTTATTCCATTTACTTAATTTTGTATAAAATTTATTCTATTTTAATTTTATCCCATAAATTTTAAGTTAATTTGCATTGTTGTTTTATTGTTATTACTACTTTATTGAAGTGTGAATTAATAAAGTAAAAAAAAATTTCGAATTACACTCACGAGTACAGTCATGAATAGTTTTTAATCAGATATGTTTCGGAAATTGTTCCAATGATCATAGGTTGTCCTTAACACCTAAACGCATAGAAATTGTCATTCACCGTCCATTGTCAAAGTTTATTTTTCAGAGAAATTTTTCTGTGTACTGACTAAGATTCTTACATGCGGTACTCCAGTACTTTACATAAAAAAATTACCTTTTTAAGTTATCTAACTTTGATATCACATGAACAGTTTAAAGTTTTTGCATTTAAAATTTTGTATAACCTACATCGACACATTAGCGAAGGGTATACATTATCTTCAGTATGGAGTTTGTAACCAGTGGAAGGAGTTATCTGCTGTATGAATATATTCTTGCTCAGCTCAATATTTTGCGTTGATTTGAACATGTCCGTCTGTCTTGGCATTCGTTCATCCGATCGCACGATAATTTAAAAAGGAAAAAATGGAATATTACGAAATTATCAGAAATTGTTTTATATTTTAAAACTGACGGCCGCTATTGTAATTGAATCAAATCGAGAACAGGTTCAGAGAGCTGCCATACAATCCTAAAAACGTATTTCAAATAATTGAAATAAAAATAAGAAACACAGCTGCATTGGCCGTCACATGTCCAATTATAGCTCAGATATTTAACCCTAAAACACAACTTTAAATATTCAAAAATTAGTTTTATAATGAAATTGTCATGCTGTAGGGTGTAATTTAAGATCGACTGCAACATTTTTACTTGGTATATACAAAAGATTTCCACATAATTAAATTTTTTCAATACATTTTTGTATTTTTTACTTATACTGCATTTATTTTAAAATAGATGAGCATCAACCAACTTCTGTACACGTATTTGAATATGTTAATAAATTGAATAAAATTTTAGCTTTTGTAAATTAATATTTTCATCTTTTTATATCCTCATATCCATTACATGTATAGATTGTGCACACTTATATGCATGTATAAGCTTAAGAATTGTATGTACATATGTATAAGGCTTGTTGTTGTGATATTGACTCAAATGAATAAAAAAATGATTTTCTTTTTCAATGTATTCTTGAATAAACTTAAATATAACATACAAATAATGTTATTTACATGAAAAGAATTTATTTTTATTAAGAGTTTTTAGATTTAAAGTATCATGCAATAGTAAAAGAACGTGGCTCTACATACATGTACCATTGAATCCTGTTAGAATTTTAATATTATAATGGCATGTTTTATTGACAAAATGCACTTCAAATAATATTCTTAAAATAGCATCAGTATTGTGTATTTTTAGAGTGCAATCCTTTTAAAATATTAAATAAAATACGAAAATATATTCATATATTCCCTAAGATGTTGTGTATGTTAGCAAAATATACAAAATTTTTACAATTTTAGATTCAAAATACTTCAAAGAATGAAAAAATTTTTTTTCTATAGTGAAGTATTTGAATTGTGTAAATTTCTTAAGAACGTAACTTTGTATAATAAAGTTAGGAATAAAAAAGCTAACGAAGTTATTGGAAAAAATTTTAAAAAAAATTCCGGCAACATTTAGTTTTGAAAAATTTACTTCTTAAACTATAAGGTGTATGTGATGTTTTTTGAACAACGACACATCTAGAACACTAGAACATCAAATATTTAAATCATAAATTTTGATGACACTTGTGTCAATTGCTCGGAATATTGTGAATCGCATGTGTTAAACATGCTGTAATTAATTTTATTACTATACTGTCTTTTAATACAATTGGCTTACACCAATACTGTAGTCAGCTGTCACTTCTTCAAACGCGTTGAACCACTGATGTAAACACTGAACGCGTATTGAAATGTGTTACGTCAGTCAATAAATATAATATGCAAATCCCGTAATATTGTGGGAAAGAATTTCAATTATAGGTGGGAAGTATTTTTTCCTTCATATGTCATTGCATTTCAAAAATTGTGAATATTTTGTCAAAATGTTGTTTATAAAAATAGAGACATTTTTTTTTTAACTTTTTCTGTTATTTATGCACATAATTTAAATAAAAAAAAAGTAAATTTTACAACACGTGGAATATAAAACTAAAAGTTTTTTTTTAAAATCGTGTTGCTATTGATTACAAATATTATGTCACAAAAATTAGAGAATTATTAGGAAGTGTAAAAATCGAA